TGCATATGCCCTGATTTCCTCAGCCCTCTTCTGGACCACTTGGTTCAGTTCATAACACTGCAGTGAACATCCCATATGTGCATCTTCATGTTCATTTCTGAATATTTTCTGAGGATACGTTTTTTTTAAAAAAATTTTTTTAAATATATTTTATTGATTTTTTACAGAGAGGAAAGGAGAGAGATAGAGAGTTAGAAACATCGATGAGAGAGATACATCGATCAGCTGCCTTCTGCACATCTCCTACTAGGGATGTGCCCGCAACCCAGGTACATGCCCTCGACCGGAATTGAACCTGGGACCTTTCAGTCTGCAGGCCGACGCTCTATCCACTGAGCCACACCGGTTTCGGCTGAGGATACGTCTTTAAGTACAACCACAGAATACAGGACCCACATTTCTATTTTCATGTCTCATTTTTAAGTGATTGGGAAGTGCCCTTTGGGATGGATGAGTCAATGCCATGGGCATCACCTAGACTGGGACAGCCCTGCAGGTGAGACACTGTTGAGTTAACAGGTGATGTCCTCCATCACGGGCTCCTCACCACTTAGGGCTGAGGAGGCAAACCTATGACACGCGTGTCAGAGGTGACATGCGAACTCATTTTTTTGGTTGATTTTTCTTTGTTAAATGGCATTTAAATATATAAAATAAATATCAAAAATATAAGTCTTTGTTTTACTATGGTTACAAATATCAAAAAATTTCTTTATTATTATTTTTTTATTGTTTTATTGCTTAAAGTATTACAAAGGGTATTACATATGTGTCCAAAAAATTTCTATATGTGACACGGCACCAGAGTTAAGTTAGGGTTTTTCAAAATGCTGACACGCCGAGCTCAGAAGGTTCGCCATCACTGAGGTCGGGTATGACACACACGTGGGATCAGCCAAGTCGGTTTGGATCACTGCTTCAGGCCTTTTATTTTCCCTTGGAGTTGTTGCTGTGACTGCCCTCAGTGCATTTACAGCCTTAACCTATGCCCCAGGCGGGGGTATGGGGGGGGGGGCAGTCAGCCCTGTTTTCCATCTCAAACTGACTTCCCCCTCCCCCAGCCTAGGGAAGCTCCTAGTGCCCCAGGGGAATGAGGCAGAGATGGGAGGTGTCTTTTCGGTTTAATCCCCCTCTACCCATGCAAATAGTGATGAGTTTTCTCGAAGTGAGAAAAGAAAACCTGTTAAAGCTGCCCTGGTTTGCTTTTCGCTGGATTTCTTTCTGAAACTGGCGTGTCTCGCATGTTTATCAGACTTATTGCTGTCTCTGGTCAAGCCCAGCTGTTTTCTGAAAATATGTGAGGTTTCTCTATAGTAACAGAAATCCAGGGTATAAAACTAGATGTGAACCCGCCTCTGAACCTTGTGTGGAGGGCAGCGTGCAGAGAAGTCCTAGGGCACTCTCCGGCTTTTTCTTTCTGTTTTTGTTAATCCTCACCCAAGGATATTCTTTCAGTTGATTTTTAGAGAGAGTGGAAGGGAAGGGGAGAGACAGAAAGAGAGAAACATGGATATGAGACACATCAATTGGTTGCACGAGCCCTAACTGGGGCTGAGGTTGGAGCCTGCAACTCAGGTACATGCCCTTGACCAGAATTGAACCTGTGACCCTTCACTCCTCAAGCCGATGCTCTAAACCAGCGGTTCTCAACAGGGGTCGAGACCCCTTTGTTGGTCGAACGACCCTTTCACAGGGGTCACCTAAGGCCATCCTGCATATCAGATATTTACATTATGATTCATAACAGTAGCAACATTACAGTTATGAAGTAGCAACGAAAATAATTTTATGGTTGGGTCACAACATGAGGAACTGTATTTAAAGGCCAGAAGGTTGAGAACCACTGCTCTAAGCACTGAACCAAACCAGCTCAGACTACTCTCTGGGTTTTAATAAATAGCCTCTTTCATCTAGAAACAGTATGGGCAAGTGTATTTGGAACTGAACTTTGTTAAAGGTCCTGAAGCCTTTGTTAAAGGTCCTTCTGTTTGCACAGAACCTGAGCGCAGTCAGCCAGAGCTGAGAGGCCTCTGCATGAAGCCCCTCTGGGCAGAGACTATCTTACCAGGAGCCCCTGGCTGCTGGAGAAGCCAGCCAAGGAGGATGGAAGGCACAGGCCATTTCACGTACTGAGGGTGTCAGTATGTGAAGCATAGCTCCGCTCAGCCATTTTTATTGTGGAGTTTATTTTGTTAGGTAATTATAAAGTACCAGGGGCCTGATGCATGAAATTTGTGCAAGAATAGGCCTTCCTTCCCCCTGCTGCCGGCACCGGCTTCCCTCTGGCACCCGGGACCCGAGCTTCCCTCCGTCCTGGGCTTCGTCCGGAATGATGTCCAGTCGAATTAGCATATTCCCCTTATCTTGATTTTACCTTTATTTACTTTTTCTTGCCTTTGTTTATTAGTATTTTTCTTTACTTTTTATTGATTTTCTAGAGGCCTGATGCATGAAATTTGTGCAAGAATAGGCCTTCCTTCCCCCTGCTGCCGGCACCGGCTTCCCTCTGGCACCCGGGACCGGAGCTTCCCTCCGTCCTGGGCTTCGTCCGGAATGATGTCCAGTCTAATTAGCATATTCCCCTTTTATTATTATACATTGTGTAGAATCTGTTTTTTAAATTAAGAACAGAGAACAAAACTGTTCCGTACATGCATATAACAAACGATGGCACATTCCTTTCCCTGGGTAGCAAGTTAACGACAGAGAGAGAAAAGTGTGGCTTTGTCAGGAGGAACGTGCTGAGCACAGAAGAAACAGATCCCTCCAAGCAGCACTGTGTGGGCAGCGTGTGGAAGACCGCAGAGAGAACTCTGAGGGAGGCAGTGCCAGCCTTGGGACAGCCTGGGCACCTCCTGCTGGGCAGAGCCACCTGCTGCGTGATTCCTGACCTTCCTAGATTTTCAGGGCCTGTCGGAAGGGGGGATGAGATGTACAGCTTTTATTCTATAATGTTACTGGATGGCCCATTGGAAGGCATTGTGCCAGCCCCTGGCATTCAGAGCACCCTTGGGGTTTCCTGTGCCTGCCCCACCCTTCAGGAAAAACTCAGCTAGTCCACGCCTCAGCTCCCTATCCCGGGTGCTGCTCTGACCCTGAGCCACAGTTGAAGCTGAGAGGGGAGCAGAATCCAGAAGGTGCTTGCGAGGGCGGAACAGAGACCCTTCTTAGCTCCAGAGGCTATAATGGGAGGAGTGACTCCTGAAGGAGCTGTAAAATTGGGGCTTTCAAACCAGGGCAAATGGTTATTAACCTTAATAGGCGGCACTGCACTGGGAAGGACCCATTTTCAATTACACTGGTAGTAAGGCGTCTGGGGCAGCCGGTGGGCTCCTGACCTCTTGAACTGAGCTAAGCTTGGGTTATAACTGCCATCAGTGCAGAAGCAATTGGAAAGCTCACTCACGGGACTGCCGCCGCGGGGAAGTGTCCTACAGCGGAACGCGAGCCGAGTCAGACAGGCTCTTGGAGGCAGGCGCTTTGGTCTGACTAGGACCTTTCCCAGGTCTCTTCTCTCTGACCCCAGAGAATTCTAGTTGTAAGTCAGCTGATCACAGCCCCTTCCATCAAGTTCTCACTTCTTGCTGACCATTTTGGTCATTTTTTAGTAGTTATGTTTTGGGGGAGAGGGAAGAATTACATTTCAGCTAAAAACAAAAAAACAAAACAGTCTTCAGACATGGGAACTTTATTTAAGACCTTGTTCATCACCAAGTTCCTAAATGTTCACCGCTGAGGAAGCGTTTGAGAGCAGAATCAAGCCCTGAGTCTGTGCGGGGATGCTTGGAGTCCTCTGACCTCGCCTGCTGATGGAGAGGACATTTGCTTAGTGGCCCTTGGTTACTTATCCCTCTTAGCTAGTCTTTTTTCCCAGGCTCGGATTTTTAAAAACCATTATTCAGAATTTACCTTAACTATGTGGGAGTTCAGAATGAGCCCCCCCAAGATATGCCTCATTGATTGGTACATGGATTATTTTGAGCTAAAGGCAGCTCAGACCCTGTGGGCTCAAGAAAAACTTCTGCCCCTCTCCCCCTTAACTAAAGGACTTTAATTTCCTAATTGCCCATAAGAAGGGATTTTCAGAGATAGTGTTTCTTGACCTGCCTATATGACAGGGCCGACTTCTAATTACTGACCCTCTGCTCTTCCTGTCCTGCGGTGACCTTCCCCTCCTCTGAAGCCCCCGGCTGCCTTACCTCATCCCTAGCTCAGACTGTCCTCTGTACCTATTTCCCCTTTCTCTCTTTGAACCTCTTCTATATGTGGGGTCTCTGACTTTCTCATGCATGTGGGGCTCCCATGCACATGAAATTAAATTTGATTTTCCCTTCTCAGTCTCCCTGTTAGTTGGATTATCAGTCTAGCCAAAAGAGCCAGAGGAGGGGAAGGGGAATTTTTCCTCTTCCCCACAAGTGCATTGGACTCTATGTGCTTCTCCTCAGTTTTGCCTAGTTTAGTTCATTGTTTTCAAATCTTGTGTATTTTTGAAACCCGTAAACTAATGAGATTAAATGTTGGCTGTTTAAATTCCAAAGGTAGTGTATTGTGAGAGTCAGTGTTTCCTACTTAGGATGTCACCTTTGAAGGAAAGTTAGGCCAACTTGGTCCGGTTGGGCATTTTAAATCTTCTTGGGGTGAGTTAGGACGGGGTCAGGCACAATAACATGTGGTGCTCTCTCTTCCTCTTCCAGACCTGCCCCAGGGAAGCCAAGTTGATGTTTGTCGATGCAGCAGTGCCACCCCGCGTGGTGATGACCTTCCAGCGCCTGGTATGTGCACTGGCCTCCCGCCAGCTGGCTCCCATAAGACATGGAGGAAGCCGCCCTCTGCACGTAGCCCTTGCAGCTCGCTCTGACAAGAGCGCCCCAGTGTTCACCCGCGCCCTGGCCTTTGGAGACAGAGTTGCCCTCGTTGACCAGCATGGCGTCCACACGTACAAGGACCTTTACTGCCGCAGCCTCCGCCTGTCCCAGGAGATCTGCCAGCTCCTTGAGTGTGCCGGCCAGGACCTGCAGGAGGAGAGGATCTCTTTTATGTGCTCCAATGACGTCTCCTACGTGGTTGCACAGTGGGCCTCATGGATGAGCGGCGGCATCGCCGTCCCTCTCTTCAGGAAGCACCCCCCGGCCGACCTGGAGTACTTCATCCAGGACTCCCGGAGCTCTGTGGTCCTCGCTGGCCAGGAGTACGTGGAGCTCCTGAGTCCAGTGGTCAGGAAGCTAGGGGTCCCACTCCTGCCTCTCCCACCTGCAGTCTACAATGGGGCAGCTGAGGAGCACGGGGTGGGGGAGTTGCCGGAACGAGACTGGAGAGACCGGGGTGCCATGATCATCTATACCAGCGGGACCACAGGGAGGCCCAAGGGTGTCCTGAGCACCCATCACAACATCAGGGCTGTGGTGAGTGCTTGTGTGGGCCACCACTATTGGGAGGGGTCAGGCCATTGTAGACACGGTTATGGCATGGCTGGTGGGGTTGGTGTGGTGTTCATGTACTTTTCTGTAGGGCATTCATAGCTGTCACCATCCTACCACCATTTCTTGTGTGTTATTTTTGTGTTCTGCAGCCTTAGTTACTTACCATCTTTGCAAAACTCCCCAGCCATGTTACTTATCTGTAATTTATACCTTTCTTCCTTCCAAAAAACTCTTCAATGCACAATAAAGACAATTATACAGTAGAAGAAATAAAATGAAACAGAAGCTCAAACCACAGGAGGAAGGAGGTCAATGCCATTGAGTTTAGGCTAACTCAGTCCCCTAAGTCAGTGGTAAGCTGGATCCAGGCTGGCTGCAAGGGAGCACGACTGATGTTACCTGTGCCTCCTAGAAGAGTGTCCTCATCTGCAGAGCCGTCTCTTGACTTGTATTTCTAAGGGGAGTGATGATCTCACATGCGTTTGCACATAAAGGTCATGAGTTATGCAGGACAGTGTGCTCAGTGGTGACTTCAGGAGATTCAGATAGACGAGTCTCACTGCTTCTCAGTAAAAGCTGCAGATGTGCCTGGAACACCCAGCTCTGGGTTCCTTCGCGGCCGAGCTGAGGATGGTGCTGGAAGTGCCAGGGAGCTCAGACAGCCATCAGAAGTTGGGCAGCTGGATACAACACTGGCCTCTGGTGAGGCCCCAAGTCCCAGGGCCTGTCAGAGCTGAAATTGCACCTCTGACTGCCCCAGAGGTGGGGGGGTGGGAGCCACCAAGAGTGCAGCTCTGAGCACCTGGGAGGAAGTCACCAGAAATGTTTGCAGAGGCCTTGGGGCACCAAATCAGAGACCCTTTCATAATGACTAAAGCCCCTGACTGTGTGACTGTTCAACACGGGTAACCAAGTAAACCACAGACCCTCAGTCAGACCCTCATCATTTCGTTATCATCTCCGGTCGATGCCATTAAGGATGCAGTGACAAAGAAGGAGCTTTTTATCCCCACTCCTCTCAGCTGGGGAAGCCCCCTCTGCGTTCCTCCACCTGCATAGTGGCTTCCCTCTTGTCTGAGGCTGTGCTGTTGTCTTGCAGGTGACGGGGCTGGTCAGCAAGTGGGCGTGGACTAAAGATGATGTGATCCTTCATGTCCTCCCCCTGCATCATGTCCATGGCGTGGTCAACAAGCTGCTCTGTCCACTCTGGGTGGGAGCCACCTGTGTGATGCTCCCAGAGTTCAATGCCCAAGTGGTAAGTGGGGGACAAGCTCTCAGCATGGCCAAATTGGGCACCTGAGGACCAGGCACCTTCCTCTGGTGTAAACTTTGCCAGCAGTTCAAGTTTTCTGTTGCTACCATAACAAATGATTCCAGTGTGGGGGTTTATAACAGCCAAGTTTATCATCTTGCCATCTGGAAGTCTTATGGAGCTAAAATCAAGGGGTCAGCAGGGTTGATTCCATCTGGAGGTTCCAGGGGAGAAACTCTTCTCGCCTCTTCCAGTTTCTAGAGGCACCACAGTCCTTGCCTTGTGAGTGTGTCACTTCAGTCTCTGCTTCTGTGGTCACCTCTCCCTCTCTTTTAAGGACCCTCTGATCACAGTGGGCCCACCCAGCTACCAGGGCCACCTCCTCATCTCAAGATCCTTAGCTTAATCACATCTGCAAAGTCCCTTCTGCAACATGAGGTACCACATCCCTGGAGATGAGGACATTTGGAGCCATTCTTGAACCAATTTCACGGGCTTTCAGCAGTTCTGCAGCAGATGGTTCAGCTGGGGCTCTTTATTAGTTTCCTTGATTGTCCCCTCTTCCACACATTGTTCCTTCCGAACATGCTGTGAGGTCACGGGAGGGGACGTGTGGTTGTGGCCGTGTGGAGAAGGAAGTGGGAGCGGAGCCCTCACTACTGAGCAGAGCGTAGCCATGAAGGACACTGCTTTGAAGGGGAAAGGACTGGGATCTGACCTGCCGCTTGACACTTGTGACCTGTGTGCAGCTCCCCTGGAGCCTTTCGGACCCTGTCCTGAGAGCCCGGGCACAGCTCTGGGGTGGAGGCTGGCAGACAGGGCTCTGGGACTCCCTCCCCTCCTTCAGCCGTTGAGCTTGTCTTCATCTTTTTGTGTTTTATTTTTCAGCTGCAGGTCTTAATGGTTTACATGGTTTTACAGAAAGTCTGCAGCTTAAATATGCTGAGGCACTGTTTCCCTTCAAGCATAAAGACCTACCTGGGGCCTCTTAGCTCAGGGGTCAGGCCACTTCCTCCACCCCCCTTTCATTGTGGGCCTCCGACTGAGGGCCCTGCCAATCTCTGATTCTCAGCACTGCTCCCTCCAGTCCAGGGATCGCTGCACTGAAGGGAAGCATGGGGGTGAGGAGCAGGCATCATCTGAGGCTGTTGTCTGCTTAGTAGGATTGACTGGTAAGGGCAGGTGGGGATGGCAAGAGGCGATGTGAGAAAAAGCTCACCTCAGGCAGGGGAAGCTTCACCTGACTGGGAGGCTTTTGCACAAGGGTGCGCCAGTACTTTGGGCTCTCCAAGACCCCCTAATTCTCCGTCCACTGGGAGAACCTCCCCCGGACCAAGGGCGATGGGGAAGCCTCCTCCTTGTGTAAGTTACTGTGTGCTGCTCCCTCAGCACAGCCCGCTCTACTCCTGTTTCTCAGGAGCCAGAGCTGTGCTGTGGGTTCCGTCTGTCCACACTCCAGCGCTGGTGATTTTAGGGGCAAAGGAGGGAGGGCTGAGTCTCCAGAATCCCTGTAAGCATAGGGAGAGCAGGTCCACCCTGGCTCGGAGCCCCAGAAAGCCCGGATCAGGGACCTAGCAGCCTGGCCTGTCAGTGACGGACTTCTCAAGTGGACATTGCCCAAGTCCTCATTTCCTAGTTCTGCTTCGGGAGTGACATGAGTGCCCATTCGGCCTGGCAAAGATGTGTTGGGCTGGCACAGCAGTGGAAAAAACAAAAATCGAGGAGGCCATTTCTTCCCCAAACACAGAGACCCAGGAATGAGAAGGAAAAAAGCAGAAGGAGGCATGGCTGGCCTTCCTCCTGGCTGTGCAGGCCTTGTCCCCTTCTCTCCTGTCCCATCCCCATCATTTTGCTCCAGCTGCACTGGCTGCCCTGCTGTCCATACACTCCACCCACCCACCTCAGTCAGCACTCTGCCTACCCTCGGTTCTCTCACCTCTCTGTAAGTCTGCCCATATGTCACTCAGCAAGGCCCCGGCCACTCTAATCATTACTGCAACCATCCTCCCCCTGCCCCCCCATCCTGGCCCTGCCTCTGCAATTTATCATGGCACTTACCACCTGGAAGCCCATAGAATCATCTCTCTCCTCGAAGGTCCACCCCAAGAGCACAGGTTTGCCTTTAGTTCACGGTGTGTCCCCAGGGACTACATCGGAGGGTCAGAGTGTTAGTGAACAGATGGGTGAATGGATGGTTATCAACATGATACATGGACTCCTGGGCTTCTCACTTCCCTACTGGTTGCGTGGACCATGAGGACATGCTGCTGGGCGGCAGGTTCATACCCCTCTGCAAACTGCCTTGCTTTATTTCAGTATCATGACTGGCTGGATTTGTCCATCAGGTGTATGGGGAGAAAGTCCCTTAAATCACTTAACGGAGAGGTTATTTGTTTGATGAAATTTTACTGTATCAACTCCTCTGAAATTAGCATAAATAGATTCCATGTAACACGATCGTCTACTTAAAATCCATTACCAGAGCCCCTTAAAGCAAGAAACTTCTCTGCAAAGCTCTGGGTTGTGCACATGCTTAAAGGTCAGGACAGTAGGACTCGGCCTCTTGTGCTCATGGCCTACGGCCATGGATAGTGTGATGCGTGGATGTGCCCATCAGTGTCCTTGGCTGTGGGAGATTTCACATGGAAACATGGCAAAGAGCCTCATCCTGGGCGTGCGGGCGGCCCCGCTGGCCGTCCTTGGTGTTCCACCCTCTGAAGAGGCCTGTAGTTTAAAGTTTGATGGAATTGATTTTGTTGAATACATACCTGTGTAGCTTAGATGTTTGAAAATGAGAATACATTTTGGGCAAGTAAGCACTCAACGGGAAAAAACATACAGGGTTTTCATATCTGCTCCCAGAGCTCCAGGTTTGGTGTGTTCTTTGGCTTCTTGGGCACTCTCCCATCTCTCCACAGGGCCCCACTAGGGCCTGGAAGCGATGGGTGCCTTAACCACCGAGTAGCGAGGGCCATTGTCTGTGATTAGGCTGCTCCTTTCTCCTGTTGAGGTGCTGGGATGAGAGGCCACCAGGGGGGCTCACAAGAAGGGTCAAATCTCAGACCTTTGTGGTTCTTTGCCCTAACTTGGAATTTCTCAAAACTGTGCAGCAGAGCTAAATATCGAAACAAGTTTGATAAAAGATTGCAACCCTGAGTTTCAGAATTTTGTGAATTTAGATATATTAGTAAAATCCTTTTACTAAATATTGGGGTTTTGTTTAAGCTTGTATTTAAGCAGTGGTGTGGGGTGACCAGAAATCTAGAGTGGTGTTTTAAGTCATAGACCCCAGGATCCTCAGGTCATCCTGCTAACAGTGGGGTGGCAGGCTGTCGCGTCCTGCGAGCCTGACTAATGAGGTGACAGTGACTCGGAGGACAGGCGGAAAGATGGATGGGCGAACTGCCTGATGTCACCCCTGAAGAACAAAGTCTGGCTGTTGATGAGCTGTCCGGAGTCTCAATCGATTTCTTGTCTCAGATGACTTGGCTCTGGCCGACTTCCTCAGGATCCAGCAGCAGGAGCACTAAATCAGGGACCTTGGTGCTGGCGCTCCCTCCTCTGTTGACCTGCTGGGTACCTGCTCAAGGGCAGGGGCTGTGCCGCGCTGGAGGCTGGGGAAGCCACCAGTGCATTCTGTTGAGGCCAGCCCCCCTGCCCAGGACACCATTTCCTGTGGTTAAACATGTTGACCTGTGGCCCCAGACAAAGTTCATTCTGGGCTCTGAGAAACTGGATCTTGTTGAAAGGGGGTCAGGCAGTGTGTATATTAAGGTGCAGGGTGAGTTTGGGGTAGAGAAGCAAAGAACATTATGCTACACTGGCCCCACAGACCCAGTCATAGTGTGGGGGTACTGCTGGGCAGGAGTGCTCACACCTCATAACTGCTCCATAGTGTGGGGTCAGTGGGACAGGAGATGCTCACACCCCAGATCTGCCCCACAGTGTGGGGTCACTGCAGCAGGAGGTGCTCACACCTCAGGTCTGCTCCACAGTGTGGGGTCACTAGGACGGGGTGCTCACACCTCAGGTCTGCTCCACAGTGTGGGAGTCACTAGGGCAGGAGGTGCTTAACACCTCAGATCTGCTCCACAATGTGCGGGTCACTAGGACAGGGGGTGCTCATAGGTCTTAGGAGCCAGACGGGCAGCTATTTTCCCATCTCCAGTCTTTCATTATGGAGTGTCCTTGTTGCCAGATTTTAGCCAGAGCAACTTAAAAACAGAACAAGAACCCCTTTCTGTGTGTGGTATAGAGTTACCAAAAATTGGGTGATGGCTTCATCTGTGGGGGTCGTTGCTTTAAGCTGGTTAAATGTTGCAGTTTCTCAGCTGCAGTCAATCCCGTTGTTGCTTTTGCTCAGCATGGCAGCACTGCCGGTTGGGATCTGACCCCAGGTTTCCAATCCTGCCTGCATAGCAGGGTTACCTTGGGGAGATGGTGAGTAAAAGAGGGCCCTGGAGCCCTCACATTTGATGCCTGGCAGTACCTGGACTACCTGCAGCCTGATTTGGGAACTGCTCTTTGGCCTTCCTATGACAGCTCGCATCTGAGCAGGTAGAAGTGTTTTCACGAGTGAAATGCAGGGTCTAGAGAGGGATCCCCCAGAGCTATGGTTTTTAAGTTATGAATGTGTCAAAACAACATGGAGAAGGAATGTTGCGTCAGTACAGCAGCTGCCCTCTTTACTGATTTGAGTAAATCTAAAAATGTCGAGGCCTTTCCAGTGGTGCAGTTCTCAGGTGGATGTCTCTGTGCCAGGGTCAGAAGTCTGCATTGAGACCATGGGACCAGTTGACACCCTTCATTTGGCCGACTGTGCTCCATCCTTCCTTTCATCTCCCGTGGGAAGCCTGGGTGGGACCATGTGTGTGGCCGTGGAGGAGGCCTGGCCAGGACCACTGATCCCCAGAGTGGATGAACGGCTCATGAGGCCTGTCCTCTCTCCTCTCGTGCCAAGCATGTGCCTCACCTGGGATGTGTGCAGTTTGATTATCTGCTGT